GAGACAGATACGTGAAAGAAGCCATGCTTCTAAACTATAATTTGTCCAGATAAGGGGTGCGAGGTAGAATGAAGTTGAACAATAAACATACAGTTTGAATGCTGGCTATACAAATTGATATCATCTCCGTCATTGCCCGTTCAGAAGGTCAGGTCAAGCTGAGCTTCCACCCACCCAGCATGACCATGGCATGCTCCCACGAGAACCGGGTTTCTTGCAAGGGATCTTTCTGCCGCTGTGCATTAAGCTTTTTCTGGAGTCCTCTTTCGTCTTGCATCGACAGATCTCGCTGGCGCCAGACCATTTCGACAACTTCAATCGCAGGGGTAATGTTCTGAGGAACAGAGAGATGTTAGTCAACTAACAGGGAAGGAGATAGAAGAATATACATACCCCAAATCGGCGAATACCTTCCAGCTCTTTAAATAACTGCAATACAGTGACCCTCTCCTCTTCCCTGCGAGCACAACACCCTGCCAAGAAGAGAGGCCACAGAGGCGTAACTGCAGTACGCATCATATTTACCTTCTTTTCCAATATCAAGGTCAATATCCGTTCAACATAAACATTCTTCTCTTCATATTCGACTGTCGGGATACCAGAGCGATTAATAGGGGCTTTGGTCGAACAGATCTCGTGTAGAAGCAGCAGGGCTCCGAGTCTATTTGCTTCTGCAATTGCAGCACACTCCATGTTGGGATCAATATTCTCGGTGGGTATCTTTTGTTGAAGGCTATCGAGGTCCGTCTTGAGTTGATGAACATCTTTACGGTTGATTTTAATGTTGCCATCCTCACGAGCCCACGCTAGTTCGGCTACTTGATCGATCATCAATAAGAGAGCAGGGCTCAATCCCATGTACGGATCAATCATGTCTGATTTTTCCAGTATACTGTCCGGCAAGAGAGGCGATATATGGGATGAGGGAGGGGTGACCCGAAACGCAGTGCGGGCTAGGACTAAGTGGAAGGCGAAATAACGATTGAAGAAACTCGCCAAATCTTGACTGTGACTTGAGCGACCGGGGCGTTCTTTTCGTGCTCGAATTAAATTTTGAAACCCGTTGAGATGGGTGACCCATGAAGGGCGACTGCTGTCTGATATCTGCAAGGAATTAGGAGATTCTCATCGTAAAGGAAGCAAGGAAGATCTTACGTCAAACCAGCATAACATCAAGACCAGACCGAGCATCTCATCCAGCTCATTTTCCGTCCAGTTGTCTTTATTTAATAGACCGCGCAGGTGATTTAGTGCTCGATGGTGATGCTCCAATGCCGGAAGCCGGTACCGCTGATCTGACAGCTTGAGGGTATTGGCTGCGATGGCTAGGGCGGCATGATATAGCCCCTCGGACTGCAGAGCCATGGGTAGTATGAGATATCGATATGGATTGTAATGTACATTATCGACAAGAGTTGAGCTGCTGCAGATGATGTGTTCGAAATAGGACATGAGCACAGGATCCCAATCTGATCGCTGGCCAGGAGAGATGGTATTCAGCCAAGGTGACAACGGGCTTGGTTGAGAAAAAGGCTTTATTCCTTTGAAATCGGGCTGGGTACCGTCAAAATGGATCCGAAGATCGATCATAGTCGTGTTCAAAAACATCCAGGTCCGATCAGCGCCCGTGTGCTCGGTCCGTAGCGACAATCTACCGTGCACTTGCTCCAGTGATTCTCTCTTTTGAGCATCTTTTCGCTTGGACCACACCCCTGTTCTTCCATGGCAAACGCCTCGGGCTAAAGATTCTTCATGCCAGACTAGACGAAGTCCGTATCCGCATGGGGCATTGTTACGGGCGCAACGACGACAAATTGGATGTGTTTCTAACAGGCTTTCAATTAGAACCGTGTTTATGCAGGAGCTTATGGGAAATTACCGTCACATTTTATGCGTCGTGCACGACATGTCCAACAGCCTGTCCGAGCTCTTGAAATTGCAGTCATTCTTCAACGTTTACCCCGCATGAGTGGAGGACATTCCCTCCTGTTATATGCGGGCCAAGGCGATAAGTATTTATTGGTATTCGTATCTTTATTCATTTCTATTCGCTGGGATATTGGGATATCCACTTTCGGCTTTATCTTTGAGTTTTATGGGACAAAAGGGGCTTGGATTGGGATCTAGGCATCTACAAAGGAGTGCTAGTAATCTACGGAGTACATATTCTACTAGTACTCCGTACTCCGTACAGTGAACGAATTCACAACGCGGATGTGGTAGATACTTAATTCAAAGTCTCCTCGCTCCAGCTTTGCACGTTGGCATGCTGGCGAGCATAATTCACGGCACCGCGGAGCTCCAGGCCGACGTTATCAGCCACCAACCCCAGCCAGTCTCTCCTGTTGGATTATCTCATAACCCTTTTCGCCTTGATCAAAAACTCCCTCAGTTCGGCAAACTCGCTCATTATGCCTAGGTTGACTGAAAATACAGCGCGCAGCTTATCTAAGTCATGATGGTCGTGTCGTGTACGTATGTGTGTAGTTTAGAAGGGTAGCCTCACGCCCATCATGGGATTCGACATGGTCCTTATTGACAAACTTGTTCAGCGAGGACTATCTGGCATTAGGTCCTCTGAGAGCGGCATGCTGTCTACAACATACATATGTACCTAGGTAGTTGGTTATATTAGAAGAGGTATTATTCACAATGCAATGATAATGCACCTCGGCCTCGGGGAGCATAAAACTGTCACCCCGAGACTCATTTCGTGACCCTAAATTAATATAAATTCAGGATCATGCACGACACGTTTATAAAATAAACTGCAGTCTTGGACCGGGGTCCTCAGTAAGTCAGATTCAACACTTGCGCCGGGCCCACATATAACATAACCTCACCTTCCTCCCAGGCGCATCTCCACCTCATCTCCCCACAAAGCTCACCATGGGTTTTAGCACTACAGCCGAATTTGATCAGGTAATTATTATCCATATCAATTGATATCACTGCTTACACTTCCTAGGCGTATCAAAGTGTGCGGGGTGCTTTTGCATCTGGCACCACCAAGAATAAGGAATGGAGGCGTCGCCAACTGAAACGTGCTTGGTGGATGATTGAGGACAACAAGAAGCGCATCTGCGACGCCCTCTATACCGATCTGCATAAGCACTATCAAGAAGCCTATATCGGCGACTGTGGTAATATTCAAGCGGATATTCTACGCACTCTCAAAAAACTAGATGAGTGGACCAAGGATGAGAGACCGGAAAAGTCCGATCCTCTCAACTTCCTGGGAAGAACCACCGTCCGCAAGGAACCTCTTGGTGTGACTCTCATTATTGGTGCATGGAATTTCCCTGTCAGTCTGCTTCTACAGCCAATGGTTGCCGCGATCGCTGCTGGATGTGCCGTCATTCTCAAACCATCGGATGTGACAAGTGCCACTCAAGATGTACTGATGGAAATTGTTCCCCAATATATGGACCGAGATGCCATTCGGTGTGTTTCTGCTGGTCCACAAGAAATGGGATACATCCTTGAACATCGCTTTGATCACATTTTCTACACCGGATCCCCCAATATCGCCAAAATAATCCATGCAGCAGCGGCAAAGCATCTTACCCCCGTCACACTCGAGTTGGGCGGTCAATGTCCTGCTATTGTGGCGGAGTCGGCGAATCTCGATCTTGCTGCAAAACACATTGCAGTTACCAAATTCATGAATGCTGGACAGGTAGGCTTGCACTGTTTACCTCCAGGCATCAAAAGCTAACTCATCTCGACTGAACCAAAGGTTTGTTTGAATGTGAACCACGTCTTTGTCCACCCAAGGCTACGAGAGCGCCTTGTCGCCGATTTGATGCGATACTTTGACACGTTCCTAGGAGGCAAAGCCAACAACCCAGAGTATTACACACACATCATCAACGAGCGAAACTTCGACCGCCTCGACAGTCTACTCCAACAGACCTCCGGAAAAATCGTCTATGGTGGCCAGCGGGATCGTCAAAGTCTGTACTTCGCACCAACGATCGTTACCGGAGTCAAGCCCGGCGATTCCCTTCTCTCCGAAGAGCTTTTCGGCCCGATCCTCCCCATCGTTGATGCCGACTTCGATACTGCTCTGTCTCGGACACGTGAGGGAGAGCATCCGCTCGCAATCTACGCATTCACTACTCAAGCTGCCGAAAAGGCTCGCATCTTGAACGAAACCCAGTCTGGGGGTGTCACCTTCAATGACTGCGGTCTCCATGTAGCTGGTCGCGATGTGCCATTTGGTGGTGTTGGCAACTCCGGCCAGGGGCGTTATCATGGCCCGCATGGTATCTTGACTTTCTCTCATCTCCGAACGCACATCAACGCCGTGCCTTCGTGGTTGGAGGGGCTTCTCGCTGCGCGGTACCCCCCGTACTCGGTTCAGAAGGCTCACAAGATGATGGCACCCGTCATCCCGCCTTTTGACCGGGACGGTAATGATACGACTTTCGCTGCTCGCTCGAAGTGGGCCTTGGGCGTTGGGGTTCTCGCACTTTCTGCATTGTTTGTGACTCGGCGGGATCAGATTGTCACTTTCGGTTCCAAGTGGCTCAAGTAATTTTAATGTCTTTTATGTATACGTATGTGTACCAAATGGAACTAGTGTTATCTTTTCTACGGCTTTTGTATATGATCATAGGTGGAATTCTCTTCTCGTCTCCATTTCTTTGAGCGGTAAAGCTCTTAAAGATTCAGGGTGGGGTATAAATCGGCAATGCTGGGGAACCTTGGTGCCGGATAATGACTGTTAAAGATAAGAGCGACACTGCTGTATAGAAAGCCGGCATATTCGGAGATCGCGGGTAAATCACCGGAGTCTACTTGAGTCCCTAAGTATCATCAAGCCAAACTACATAGTAACAATACAAAGAAACTAGAACGAGATATGCCAAAAGTCAAATTGTAAAAGGGTATAAAGATGGCAAGGGCACAGTGGGAAGTTGAGCAAAAGAACCTAAGCTTTTTTTGCAAGTTCTTCTTTGCCTACCCTTTTCATATTGGGGCTTTTCCGACACATCATGAAACTATCACTAGTTCTTGTGGGATTGAATGCTGTCCACAATGCCGGTATTGTCTCTGCTGTTCCACTAGACAGCTGGTCAGCCAGGTTCAGTGCGTCATCGCACGCGGTTGAAATGTTCAATGCGGCTATTGAATGGAATGACAAGTACTGGGACGATGAGGCTGGCTATCTGATTACCTCAACAAGTAGTCCTGGACGCTATGATAGTCGGCACTCGGCCTGGTATGCCCCTCAATTGCTAGCCAGAAATGGACCGGGCGATGTTGCAAAAGCCGTCCGCATCTTCGACAATGTCATTTCTGGTCAATATCTCGATCCATCTAAACAGTGGTATGGGGACTATCAACAAGCGCCTTCAGAACCGGAGCCTGGGACGCTGGAATATCCCGACGATGGTCCATACAGCTCGGTAAGCGGAGAATTATTAGTCTAATCCATGCGTTGTTCTTTCTTGTGTTATTTTGCTAATATGATTTTTGTCAGTGGGATCCAAATATTCGCGATTTCGTGGGCTGCGCCTGGATTGTGGCCTTGAATGATTATGGCCACCTGCTTCCCGCAGCGACAGTCTCCAAGGTAGAAGAATCCTTGCACATTGCAGCCAAAGGCGATCTCTATCGTGTTGGAGGGATTGATGGCGACAATTCTTACCCTTGTTACTCCAATCCCTGGTTGATGCGAACCATTCTTCAAAACTGGGTTGGTGCACGAGTCGGAGATGCAAACTTGACCAACTCTGGTGAGAACTTCGCACAGGAAATCTACGACCTCTGGAGTATGCACCATACCTTGTCTGAATTTAATTCTCCGACATACGCTGGCGTTGCCATGTGGGCACTGGCTCTCTGGAACCAGTATGGAACAAGTGACAGTTTGTTGAAGAAGTATGGACCGGAGATGCTCAAATACAGTTGGAATGAGCTCGCTCAGCTCTATAATGCAAATCTGAAGAATATTGCTGGCCCTTGGGATCGCTCATATGGTTACGATATGAAAGAGTATGCATCTCTTACTGGCGCTGTTATCTGGGGTGTTGTTGGCCGTGAGCAGGCTCCCGTCCCTCAGCAGGAGCTTGGAATGTTCCATCAAGACGATTTCGCGTTTTATCCACTGTTCGCCCTGTCAATGCCTGAAATGGTGAAATATCTGCCGGCAAAGGCAAAGGCAAATTTACTCAAGTTCCCTGGCGAGCATATGTATACTTCGCAGGCTTACTCGCCGCCCTTCGATACTTATCCTCGCAATATCACTGCTTGGGTATCTAAGGACGTGACCATTGGTGCAGAAACTGTTGCTGAGACCGTTGTCGGAGGTCCAAGTATCAACCCCAGTCAATTCAATCCCGCCGTCATTCAGTGGGCTATTGGCGAGCATAAAATCGGCTGCATCTCGCATTGGGTCACAGAGTCATCTATTCATGCCGTGGCTGCCCCTCGGTCTTTGAACATCTCATATACAAATGCAACATCTGTGCACGGTCCCGTTTCTTTCAATTTCTTGTTCAGTGGCCTCACGGTCAACAACGGGTTCAATGTAACTGGACTGGAAGGCTTGCCTGGTTTGAACGTCAAGGTCTCGACAAATGCACAACCAAATTATACGATCACATACAACACTGATCACTCTGTCAATGAATTCGTGTTTTACAACATCACGTATACGATGCCGGAGAGTTTCACTGGGGTACCATATGTGTCTCTTCAGATAGTTTGAGCGTTTGCATGAGCAAGATACGATATCTCTCAGTGTCCAATGTCAATGTCAATTCCATGTGCTATATGATTCAGAAAGCGTATATACAGAATCACATGTCCTCTCAACTCTGGGAAATATGCATAGATTACTCGTCCTTTTTCTCCTCATCAGGTTGACCCTCTCCATCGGCCGACTCCGATTGCGTCTGAGGTAGCCAAAAGCGTGCAATAATACCACCCAAGAACCGCTGATCGACCCACTTGACTAAACCATAGAGGATCCAACCCCAACCCCACAGAGACATACCCATCATGCTTGTGACCAGCAACACCGGACCAAGAATGAGCAAGGACAGAATAGCCCAGAGCAGTATCGACACCGCAGCGAAGACAAACACGCCAGCCAAGAATACCAGTAGAGGAACTCCACAGCAAATCATTTGACAAACGATCAAGGTTGTTGCGGCAGGGCGCTTCAATGCAGCTTCATATATCGCAGCTTGGCGGGGTGGAGGGAGGAGCCAGGTGACCAGTCTCTGTATGCAGGACTCGAGGTAATCAAAGGCTTGAGGGAACAGCGTGGAGAACCATGCTGTGATGCTGGACCATATCGATGAGAACGAGAGATTGTTGTCGACACCCTCGCCTTTTGGGGGAGCATCGTCCGCAGGAAATTGACCTGGGATGACAGGGTCGGTCAGGTCCTTAGTCGTTCTGTTTAGCTTTTTTGGTGCGCTTTTCTTGACCACTCCACTTGTTGTTGATTGAACTTTGTCGGTAGGAAGCTGCCCGGTCACACCACTGGTGACATTATCGAGGGGCATCCTGAGGTCTGGTAGGTATTTTTCTGCGATCAATAGAGTAAGGAGAAGCAGCGATGGTAGTGAGCTTTGTTCCAGCAAAGATTAGTTAAAATCTATGTTTATGAACCCAATATATTCGGACTATCTATATCAACGATCAGATCCATAACATGACGTATGGGGCGTTCTGCCAACTGGTTTGCGGCGATATTAATTCTGCGTCACCATTAGCCACAGCCCTGGACACATTATATTTTATTCACCTTAGGCTATCCAGTTCATATATTTTACAATGTACTCCGATCAAAGCGTGAAGACGGGGTAAGGGAAAGCAACTTATCCACATAGATTTCATCAACATCGTGTGAGATTATTGGCCAGTAGACCAATCTAAGTTTGACATGTCAGGACATCGATTATGGAAGAAATTTGGAGCATTGTATATTTCATATAAATATCCTATTTGAAAACAAAAATAGAACCATCTCATCAACTAGTCATGTAGGGAGATATGGGTAAGAATATAATCTGAGAGAACGCTATGCTACGAATCATTGGTCAGAAGTGCCATTGCGATCGTCAAACATCATGAAATCAGCATCATCAACTTCATCCCCTACGATTATCTTCCAAGCCTCTTTGACAAGGTCAAGGGTGTCGTCTTCGAATGCCAAGTCGAGGCTCGATGGAGGGAAACGGTAGGCATCAGGAACTCCTTCCTCGACAGTAAGACGCTGGGGCTCACCATTGCTGAGGCGACCGATGTGAGTGTATCGCAAGGACCACAGCACGCTGGTCGGGAGACCTTCTGCCCGAATTAGTCTATCCATGGCGGACTCGATAAGCGATTGACCTTCCGGTCCAGGTAGTGCCACACTGCAATAGATAACACCTGTGACAATCAATTAGCCACATGAACGACAATATTGTTGACGAATCAAATTTGGAGGGAGCTCGTGATCAGGTGAAAAGGTTTTCAACATAGCAAGTTCAGGCAATGTAGATAAGTTTTTGAAAAAAATCATCATGCGAGCGGTGTGGGAGGACATATCAGGCGGGGCTGCAAATGGGATGACTTACTCTGCTGGTGTGGACACTCGCCAGTGTCGCTTGAATGAACCTGGAGATAGACAGGCGGGGATTGGGGATTACCCAATGTATCCCCTGGAAACATGAGAACTGCAGTTGCAGGCACAGGAGCACCTTCAACTGCAACAGGGAAAAGAGACGGGAAAGTAGCCGACACAACACTGATCGAGCGGGCGACTTCAACCAATGGTGCCGAGCTCTCTTTGGAAAAACTATCCGACGAGGTAAACAGGTACCTCGACTGAACAGACTCTTCATTGGCTAATTTCAACAGGAAAGGATGTTCGGAATGTTCAGAGCCTGCCCGCCGTAAGCAATCATTAATCTGCGTGTCCAGGGCATATACACCTCCTCCCACAGCGGATGCACGACAGGCAGCTTGTAGGATTTCGGCTCCACCGCCATACTTAGCAATCACAGCTCCAAACCCAGGGCCGAGATGGCCGATGGATGACAGATGCCTTTGAATCCTGGGAACAGCATAGCTGGCGGAGGTATCTTGCTGAGAAAGCTGTGACAGGGACAGCGACAGCAAAGGATTGTGAAGTTCTTCCGGGACACTAAACCTGGAAGCCAGATAATCCTTCAAGGGCATTGATATATCCTCATCTTCATTTGAAGTATCATCCTCCTTGGGTTTGGTGATATGACGCAATAAGCGCATGAGGGTTCTCTTGGACTTCATGCTGATATGAGTTGCAGCAAACACATCCTCTCGGTTGCCAGGTACGCGGTAGAGAACCTTTTCCGCACCAAGCTCGCCAGTTTTGGAATCTGGCTGTTCAGGTGCGTAGATCCACCAACTGCCAACTGCCATAAACTCCAACTGGCGAAAGACCTTCGAGGATACGAGCGCTGACATTAGTGGAGAACGGGCATATAAGAGATATGGGGACAGGGACAAAGTGTAAGCACGGCTTGATGCAAGTTCGGGAGAAATGCTTCTGTCCTGAGCTAGAGAAGTATCAAGTTTGAAAATTGAGGCATCTTTGAATAGTGATGTACTCGTGTCTGTTTGCCAATACAACATTAGCCATGGACCAACCAGCCACACACAAGAGATAACTCACCTTTATTGACTTTTTCTGCCCATTCTTGGGCCTCATCAAGACTGAAGGCTGCATCTGAACCACCATAGTACTGGTTTGAGTCCATGTGAAGAACCTTCTTTCCAGATCGTGAGAGGGCCCTTTGGGAGTGTGAGTGCTCAACTCACAACCACCCTAAGATAGTCACTCACAGTGCCAGAAGGGACTGAGAAACCCCAGTCCCATCAATGATCACATCCCAAGTCGTGTCTGACAGAGTTTCCATGGTAAGGAAAATCAGGAACGAATTCCTAGCTGCAGGTAAGTCCGAGTATTACAGCCAAATTTGGCAGCACAAGCTATCCTGAAGTTGAGAAATGGGATATTTAATGCAACTGAAGCATTCCCAATCTTTCTATAAGCTTGGATGCTGGAAATTTCATCAACTGGAGGTTGTTGGGGGGAAAGAAAAAGAAGAAAAGAAAAAATTGGAGAAAAACGCGGGAAGTGCGCGTGAAGGCGGTCACGCGGTCCCCACTTCAGTCAACAGCCCTAGACAACTTCAACAAAAATATTCAAATCAAGCTCGAATAGCATATTACGAAGAAAAAGATATGATTTTCTTTAGTTTAATCAACTTGAGTTATTTTCAATGGCTTGAATAAACAAGAATTTTGAATATTGGAGCATGTGCTATGACAGCTTTTCTCTATTTCTCTCAGAGCCACCTACTTGCTTCTCAAAAATATATACCTCAGGTGCGACTTTTATCGGTTTCTTTCTCCGCGGCCCCATGAGCTTGATCTTGATCTTGATCAATCTCTATCTCTGCCTCTACCCTTCCGTCCTCACCCAACTTCACGTTCTTCAAGAACAACATCACAATAAGCATCAACGAAAGTGAAACCAGACCTGCAATCGCAAGTAGTCTTTGCGACTCTCGGTAACTGCGATTGATGGCATCACGAGCTTCAGTACCCATGGCATATTTTCGAGCTACCACAATTGATCCGAAGATAGATTTGGCTTGACCCTTCAGTTCACTAGGGAGATATTGCTGAAGCTTTTTCGGGAGAGTGTTTCGCCATATTGCCCCGGCGACACTATTTAAACGCGTTAGTTAGAAGTGAATCAAATATGTGACTAGGCGTAGCTGCTTACCTTGTCCCAATTGCACCACCCACGCTCATCGATGCGAAGAATACTGCGGTAACAACGGAAACATCCTGCCGTGAGACCACGGCTTGCACTGAGACTTGTGCAGCCGTTTGGTAGAATCCGCGACCAATACCAATCAATGACTTGGCTGCCACAAAAGATGCTTCATTCCCACTGCGACCATCTCCCATATCAACTAGATAGAGAAGTACACCCATTCCAAGAACGCAGAGCGGGACGCCGATCAACACCCAGATCTGGGAGCGCTTGGTATATTTCATGAAGAAAGCGGCGAATATGCCAGCCACCTGAAATGCCACACGGAGGGAGTTACTAGATTCGAAATTAGTCTCATGAGGGGGGAATGATAGCATCAATCACAGCTAGTAAGAAATGAGGCGGGGGAATCGTACTCAATTCTGGTTGCAGGCCCCGGGGAAAAGTTCCCAGCTACCTGAAGGTAACTCGTGAAGAAGACACTGAAGACAGAATAGTGGAAGAAATCCAATGCCCCAAGAAGGCACGCAGCTGCCACTGTGCGGTTCTTGATCATACGATAAGGCACAAATGGCTTCTTCGCGAACCATGTGTCCCAACCTAAAAACGCTACTATGAAAACCACGCCAAGGACCAACATGGCGATGAATGACCCGTTGGTCCACGCCCCGCTGTTATTAGAGCCTGTCAGGGATAAGGGAACCAAAAGGAGAGACAATCCAGCCACAAGGAGAATAGCCCCTGGCATGTCAAGCTCAATCCAAAACAATCGGTATACCTTCTTCCACCAGGCATCGTTGGTTTTCCAGCCTAATGCCTCAGACACAGATACCGGAGATGGTGTTCGACGTTGATAAAACAGCATGGTACCGATCAATGGTAGTGATGCAACGGGCAAGATAATCGCCCACATGCCCCATCCCCACCGCCACGTTGAATGATCGAGGATGCGCTGAGCGACGATAGTACCAAGGTAAAGAGTCGGAATTGTGGTGAGAGAGTCAGGTAGCGTCGACCAGATACCACGGTTAACTAACGAGGTCATATCCGCCACAAATATTTGTTGTGTGAGGGCAAATCCAGTTGATCCAATAGCGTCGAAGATACCGGCAACCTGCGTGACACAGCAACAATTAGCACGGGGTGATATACTTGGCAAATCTAGAAGGAAGCCTCTTACTATGTATTGCGTGATATTCGTGCAGGCTGCCCAAATGGCATAACCCAAAACAGACATAAGAATGGACAAGATGAACATCTCAGCCCTACCGAAAACCTAGCCATCGTGGTAAGCAAAATAATGAAAAGTTGGAAGACTTGAGAATACTGACATCTCCCAGCTTTGCAATAATAGGATAGGCAGAGATACGAGCAATGTTCATGACCACCCGTGCTGCGCTCATGGCAGAGTGCTGCTTGAAGGCACTCGTAGTGTATGGGGCATACACCTGAGTTGAATAATCGGCGAAATTGATAGCCAATGTACACAAAAACAGTCTGACCGACGTTAGTAAATCCCTCTGCTTGTAATATGTCTGCAATGACGCACCCTGTAAAGACAATGATCAAGCCTTGCTTGGTCCAGCTCTTCCGAAGCACATCAGCCCTGTAGACTCCAGGTTGGAGGCTGGAAAGGCTTGGTTGCTTTTCAAGGTTTGCCTCCTGATGAACATTCTCAGCAGCGTGGCTACTTTGGTTGTTTGACGGTGCCATCACGATGGAAATTTCCCCTTCTTGCTTGGCCATGGCCGCAGGCGCATATATCTAGCGAGAGTACATGCTTTTCTCAGAACATGGATTGAGAGGGTATTTAAATAAAAGGCCTTACTCGAATGCAAAAAGATTTAACCGGACCTTGCCACACTCTACACAAAATTGTCTCCAAACGTAGCAAGAATAGTATAGATACACAGAATACCTGGATAGGATTGGAAGGCCTCACTTCTTCGCCCCACTCTGACTTCACTAGAAGAAGTAGGTTGGCCTTCCTAAACCCCGAAAACTACCCAGGTATATAAAAAGCGGACTACAAGTGGAAACCAAACTTTATCTTATCAATCATATGCCAGGAAAGAAAAACGAACCCTGCCTGAAATAGGCAATTGAGACGACGAGAGACGCGTCCCCTCGTATTTTCAAGGATGCCAAGATGGCCAAGGTAGCCAAGGACATGCTAATATATCCACCAAGAGAAAATGGCCTCACTTTCGGAGTTAAAACCAGAGTCGGGAAAATGACCTTTGTTTGGAACGGAGGTTTTCCCACTACAACATAGATTTAGTCTCATATCGTTATTATTGCCCCCACTTTGCAGCCTTGTAAATTTGGGCACCGGTCACTTTTTCATCTAGCAATGTTTCACCTGGCATTGTTAAATGGCTCCGAGGTAGGACCATCCGGCTATTCTTGCCGCATTAGCCGTTCTGTCAAGCATCATGAGTTTTAGCCTCATAACAGTCCTTCAAAATGACCCGTTCTTCAAAACAATTACTGTGCCATATATTCTCTTTCCAATTCACCCACATTCCGAAGCGCGCAATGGAAGACCAGTGGACTTTTGAGCAGGCGGAATGTTATGTACAAAATATGGCGAGTTGGCTCGTCGCAAACAAGCAGGACGAGAAATATCTTATTCAAGTTTCGTGGCCACTGGAGTGGGAATCCACTGAGGACCAGCCAATCGTCAACAAAGCCAATGCAATGTAAGTGAGAATGCCATTTCAAATATAACATCAGCCAACACTTTTCAAACCATCTACAGCTATCTTGTTGATGGCAATGCAATGATGCTTTCAGCAACAGATATCGTGCGGCGGCGGCGAATGCGTAAACCGGAGGAAACATCGACAATCATCATTGGAATCTCCTACCCATTGACCCGGTCTGTTTACAGCCCTCGTCGAAGCCATGATCTAACTCCCCCATGTGAGAAATATGACGCGCCCAAAAGCCCGGATGGAAAGCCCAACCATCAGCAGTATGGAGGTGCAGATGCTTTCCTCCATTTCATAACGAACACTGTTCACCATTTTGTATTTTCGTCGATATTTCCCCGCATATCAGTCTGCCAGACTGCTCTGTTCGGACACTCTTTTGGGGCCCTATTCGCCCTCCATGCGCTCTATACAGCACCTGGAAGCTTCGATGCTTATCTTGCTGCAAGTCCGTCAATTTGGTGGAACAATGGATTCCTGTTGCAGGAAGAAGAGCAGTTCTACAGCATGACAGAATCACATCACCATCCCAGAGTTTGGATGGCGTATGGATCACTTGAGCAGTCTCCTATACATCAGAAAAACCAGACCTTGGAGGAATACGAAAAACGGTTGGCGATAGCCAAGGAACGTCTAATGGGGGATAATTGTGACCAGATGTTTGTTCGGCTTCTGCGGAGTGGAAGGGTACGGTCAGTCGTACGAAGAAAATACGAAGACGAAGACCATGGCAGTGTCATTGCTGGAGCACTGAGCGGAGCTATCTTCTACTTCCTTGATCAGGGAGATGAAGAATGAAGATCATAGTCGCAGCAACTTCTATTGGTGTAATTAAACCGCCCATACGGGTGTGGGTGTAACTTTATTTTTTCTTCTTCTGCTGCTCTATTTTCTAGGTACTAGTCACTTACGCTAGAAGATGATGGTCACGATGCAGAGACAATTGGACAAAGTAGATAGAGCCTGGATGCCTCAGGCAGAAAATTCTGCCTAAGGCTATAAATTACTCAGCAATTCCCAAAGCGGTTAGGCTACACCACTATATGAGAAGTGAAATTTCGGCAGAACGCTTTTCTCTCTCCATACCACTCCCGGTGTTCTGCACAGAACGGGTTACTATACTATGGTAGCCTGGTCTTCATTGACGCGGTCCTTCACTGGACTTCGTTTGGGAGTGGTAGATAAGATTTCTTGTCACTCTGTATCTGCTGCTCTTGATGGAGACATTTGATGGAAGCGGTTCGTTTTGTAGTGATACATCCATAATCTCATTATTAGAGTGGTACCTTGCTCTGCCACTCTGATATTGTAGTTTGTAGAGTCCAAGAGGCTTGCATAGAGCACCTTGGGACAACAACAGACAATGAATGCTGCCGTGGCATGACTTGGGCCGGGCGCGCCGAAGGTTGTGTTGTACCTGCAACCCGCATCGCAGATGGAATCTAAACTCTCCAAATTGGACAACACCTGTTTTTTCGGGGAGGAGATACTTGTTGTGCATGACCCTCCACCGTAATCCGATGGAATAAGCTGCATCGCGTGACTCTCACTCTTGTGTGCCTGCTTCGACCACCCGAGCCCGAATAATCTTCAACTCGTCTACCGGCTTGTCCTCCGCACCGGTCTTGACCAGTCCCATACGCTGGATCACTCTCATGCCACTCTTCACTCGACCGAAAATCGTGTGGTTCCCGTCCAGCCAGGGTGTTGGCGCAAGGGTGATGAAGAACTGACTACCATTGGTATTCGGTCCACTGTTGGCCATGCTCAGAATTCCAGCGCCAGTGTGTTTCAGCTCCCCGCGAATCTCGTCTTCAAATTTCTCGCCGTAGATGGAGCTGCCTCCTCGACCGGTGCCAGTGGGATCGCCAGTTTGGACCATGAAGTCAGGAATGATGCGATGGAAGATGACATTGTTGTAGTAGCCGCGCTCGGCAAGGGTCGCAAAGTTCTTGCAAGTCTAAATAGCAATAAATTAGCGAATATTCCCTGGAAGCTCTGCAAAGGGGCTCATACCTTGGGCGCATGGGTATTGTAGAGCTCCACAGAGAAGGAGCCCTGCGGTAGGTTAGTAAGTGATCTTGAGAGAACAACCGAGCACTATTTACCATAGACGTGTCAAAAGCCACCTCAGTTGTCATGATGAAGATGTGAGTGTAGAATCGCAGATAAAAGAGCCGAAAAAAATAGAGCTGAGAGTTGCAAGAAGCGGGATCAACCAACGTTACGGAGGAGTGCAGCGACCATGCGAGTCTCAATCCCCAATTTGTCTGGCAGAAAGCCAGTACCGCCCTATCTATACGATGTTAGATCATGATCAACACTACAACAATTGTCTTAGTCCCAGAAAGGGAAAATGCATATAGGTAATAATAAAGAACAGAGAGACACAGAATATAAAGAGCTATATTATTACAGCATTGTGGAAGCAAGCCGGCTATAAGTCTCTTTATATGTACATAATTTTGGTCTTAGAACTTACTACATGTCTGTCCCTTTCCTTTCTTCTGCTTGCCCTGCATGCGCCCGACCCCGTCCAAATTTTCTGCAATCATCCAGACAAGCTCTGTGAGGAGGTCGTGTGTGGCTGTGGTTGGTGCCATAGTATCACAGTGGAGAGCTAATTCGTTACTTGATGAGGGGGAGAGAGAGGAAAGAAAGAAACTTCGAGGTACCTGGTAAAGCGAACTAGGCCTTCTATATGTAGCCTCAAATGCTGTGCAATTTGCAGCCAGATCCAAGATTCTGGGTCTCGCCTTGAGGGCTACCATCCTTTGGTATCCCACAGAAGCTTATGATAATATTGCACATGTATAGTAGGGTTTCACTAAATGACTAGACGCACCAACCCTAAGAAACAAAAGATGATCGGCAGGAAACAATAAAGTGAGCTGGGCCTAGTTTGTAGATCCAATTATCCTCGTGTTCTTCCTCAAATCCTCATGGCTATTATCATGATTATGCAATTTCCTCAACCCACTACTTCACATACACTTCGGAGATCTAGGGATGAAGACACACAGCCAGCTCAATGGACGGCTAACAAAAAAAAAGCAAGATAGTCGAGTACAAGTCACTTATCAAATTGGAAAAGCATCCACGCTTTTCCCTCATTTGTCAACTGCCTTCTTACCGAGTTCACTGCGAAGATTCCCGGCACTCCAAGTTTTCTGGCTGTAGTACTAACAGCCATTCATATCAGACCCTTCAAGTATCACATAAACCATATAAATAGGGCAGCCTCTCACTGTAGGCATCTTGGAAATAAAAAACAAGAACGGGATGAATGAATAATGTGAAGAAACCAAGGTTACGTAGATGCAAGTTGAAAGCGGTGAATTAAATTATGCTGTGGTCACTAAGCCCCTCCGTGCACCAGGAAGCTCGCCGCGTTGGAAGGTCAACAGGTTACCTACCTCCCACACTAACAACCCTTTATGACTAGCATGGTCTGATTCATTCTTTTTTGTTTATTGGCTTCGATTCACTGTAATTTGCCCCGTGCTTACAGTCTACAATTTTCTGTCCATCATGGCCGACGTCAGCCCTGTTGCAGAGCTTCTTGGCCAAGCCCTCTACCACTTTGACCGTCTGAGGCCACTTCTTCCAACTTACGGACACCTAATTGTTTCCGCTCTTTTTCCAATCTGGATTGGTGCACATGCATCTTTAACAAGACCTTCCTCCGCCGCTAAACCTCCGAAGAAAAACACCGACAAGGATAAAGATGAATATGACACGGATGATGAAGAGGGACATGGCCCTTTGCAGAAGATGGAAGGCCTTGAGCCATCAGACGCCCTGATGTTTCCATTGACTGCAGGACTCACACTGGGTGGTTTATACTTGGTGATCAAATGGCTGGAAGATCCAGCCATCTTGAACAAGATCCTTAGTTTCTACTTCTCTCAAATGGGACTCTTCTTTGCTTTTGCATTCCTGAAGGATGTATCGTTGATGATTCGTTCATTTGTTTTCCCTAGATATTATCGTCAAGGTGGACAATTATGGAAAGCGAAACACTCCGAACGC